AGGAGGAAGAAGAAAAAAAAATCTTGCTGCCAACTTGGAGATTTTTTTCCCAGCAAGTTTAATTTTTCTAAAAAAAATAAAATAAAATGTGCAAGCTATGCCCCAAGGGTGACCCTGCACAAAGTTTTCTGGCAGCTCCAATATTCTCCATTCCCCCCTCACATCACCACAGACACCCCATCTTTCCCCATGCTCTTCCCTGACATACACATGCACATACGGAGCCCTAAGAATCCTGGCACCCAGGCGGCTTTTTCTTTTTCAAGCATGCCAAAACAAGCTAAGCTCCTAAATCCCTTTTAGAATCTAGCCTTGTGTGGAAATCTGTTTGCCTCAATCGTATGTTTATTTTCTTTTGTTTTCAGGTTGGTTAGCCCAAGGGCAAATGTTGTTCCTAGCACCAGTTTTGGGGTTGGGTGGTTGGTTTTTTTTTTTTGGTATTTATCTTTCAATCAAGTGTTCCTCCTTGCAAGGATAAACAGGATGTTTAGAGACTCTGGGTATGACGACCAGTCTTTGACAGCTGTTGTGACACACTACACACTGGGTTTGCCATGTGTGCAAGCACTGGCACAGCTCAATCTGCAGCAGGCTCTCGTCATTTGAGGAGATGGACTATATGACCTAAGAATACTTTGCCAGGTCTGTTTTCAGCACAGACTCACGGGGAAATATGCCACACCATCCAGAACACTCCCTGGCCTCTCTCTCCACTTACAACAGGATCACCTGCCCATCCCACAGCAATTCCCTTTCTAGCCAGCTTATTTCACTTGCTTAGATACACTAAACTATGCTCTGCCTCAGAGAAATTTTTCTTTTCCAGGTACATGGAGACAGACAACAGTCAAAATACTTTTAAACCACAGTGATTCAACAGAGGGAGTTTCCCAAGCCTTTTTTTAGAAAGGGAGTTTTCCAAGCCTTGAATCACTGACATTGGTCTGACTTCTGAATCAAGAACTTTGGAAAATGAAGTGTAGATAGCACTAACTGAGGACCAGGTCCCAATCAAGACCTGCCTACCTGGAATACTGTGTGTAGCCTCAAGACGGTCTGTAAACTCCCAGTCACCAGAGAAGAAGATCCTTCAAAATTTGAATCACTTTTCATTTGCAACATTTAGTAACAGCTGAAGGCAGGAAAGATTAAGAGACTGATAATTAGTTCTGCCTTATAATTAAAATGAGTAGTCTTGCACCAGGCCCTAGCTATCTACTGTGTTCTCTGGCCACTAAGTGTCTGTGGAATATCTCCTGAATCCTGCAAACTGGGCGTGTCCACAACAGCAGTGCACCCTTTGATAAGCATTACTACACAAAAAGGATTAAATTCTGTCTGAACAGCCATAAATCACTCTGAAAGAAATGGCTCAGCCAGGCTGTCATCTTAGCTAGTCTAAAACCTTTCACTTTTGAAGAAAATAATTACCCCTCTTCTCCACAAGCACAATTCCTAAATAGCAGTGCTCAGTTTTCCCCATTACAACTGCTTTAAGAAATTCACAGGACAGTGACAACGTGTTGCTGACTTTCACAATGTTTGGGCACAGTTTATCCAAGGAAACTTACTTCATCCTCCAACGCTTGTCAAGTTTAAGCCTTAAAAAATCCATTCCAGGTAACATTCAACCGCAACCTTCTGGACTGCACACAAACTAGAGCATGAAACTTTATGGTCTGTGTTATTCAGAAGGTCAAGAGGGATTATCACAATATTCCTTTATAGCTGGGGTACCTACGAGCCTTGGCATACAAGCCACCCTGGAAAACCATTCTCAGACTACTGTTTTAACTTGGACTCTGAGCGGTCCTTGAGCTCTACTTCAGGAGCTGTAAAGATAACTGTTTTACAGTTTTCAGTTCTGCTAGCAAAAATAGCACTAGCTTTCCATACCTTGCTGTTTCACACACTAAGCAGGCACCCTCTATCAAACCCTTAGTGCTCCCTGCAAGCTATTCCTCAAACACACCAGAGCTGAAGAAGCAATAGCCTGTCCGACAACCTAAAAATTCAAATAAGTAAAATAATTTTCCTGAAAAAAAACCACAAAACTTTGATATAATTGGGATAACCTGGAAGGATTGGGCACTCCCCAGTGATTAAGACATTTTCCACAGCAAGATGGCCTTGGACAGAGTAAGCAAAATTTTCCTACTGCCTTCCCTTTGCACAGAACAGGAATATTTACTAAATCAGAATATGTCTTTTCTGGAATCCACCACAAGGTTATACTTACTTCTTTCCTATTATTTATTTTATTTAGCCTTCTTTCTTTGCTTAATCATCAGTAGACTGACAAACAGGGAATAATGCACAGGATCATAAAACTGGCCACTGATGTGCAGGCAATACTTAAATCTTTGACATAGCATGGCTTACACACAGCAGCAGCAGCTACTGTAACTTTGTGTTTAACCAGGTACCAACTGAGCTGCACTATACGCCTACCTGCTTCAAGGGAACTGTGAAGACAAACATTTGCACTGTCGAAGGTCACATAGCAAGGCTCAGGTGACAGCTGGTTATGAGACACCATAATGTTGTCACCTTCAGACATCCACATTCTTGTGTGATCTTCTGCAACCAACAAGGAACCTGTTTGTAACACCCAAGCAAGCAGGACTTCCAACACAAAACTCATTTCAAAGCCATGTTAGGAAAACCATTGTACACGGTCACTTTACTGTCTCTGCAGTTCTACTTTGGCTTGTTTTAAAAAATAATAAATACAAGTGAACAAAAAAGAAATAGCACATTCCCTCTGTAGTGTACTGGTGTTACTGGGACAAAGCTGGATGCCTTTCTTCACCAGAGTGGCTGACGCAGGCAGTTGCGCATCTGCAGAGCGTTCCAGCGTGTTACTCTCTTAGGGGCACTGCACGTGTTCAGGGGGAAAGAACCTGCCTCAAACATCTCCCTTGCACGTCAGCAGCTGCAGAGCTGTGCACGCCAAGTGCGGGACGTGGCTTCTCCTGTACCACAGCAAACATCAGCCTCTTCAACTGAGTCATTATTTTCATCTTTGGAAAAGTTATTCACACGTATATTTAAATCCTTGGCCTGCAGGTATGACTGCTGACATAGCCAAGGACAGCTCGACACTTCTGACAGCAGGGCTAGATGTGACCTCATAGGATCTGCCAATCCCTTGCATCACGCAAAATAAACATCAGGATGCGCTGGAAGGAGAACCATTTAGTGAAACAACCCACATCATTCTGAGTCCTCGTCCTCCTTTGCTGTTACTTCTCTCTGGTACATTATATAACCTCTGCCTTCATATTCCAGTATCATGCTGTTATCTTCCAGCCTGTAGAGTTTGGGGGATGGGATTTGTGAAGCACCAGATCGTATTAAGCACTGACACGTTCCACAGAAAGATCCTTGCATCTAGACAAATTCAGTCATCCTACTTTAAAACTGCAGGCCAGCTCCTGATTTAACCTGGAGTTTCACATGTCACTACAAAACTCTGGAAGTGCTGGCTTTGCAGATATGCCAAACATAAGAAGTGTTTTCAGCAAACTCAGTATTTTTCCACATCTACTATGGTGACTCTGCTGGCAGGCTGGGAGCAGCAAATCCTCCCTTACCTCTCTCCTCTCTCAGAGCATCGCTCAGTTTAAGCACCAGCTTTCTTTGATCATTATGCACAATCCCCTTTGGAGAATGGACAAAGAGGTGGGGAGGGAGACCCACCAAGGTCCCCTTGGAAAATGTACAAAGAATGGGGAGTGGGAAAGTCACCAGGGTCATAACCAACAAATCACAGAAGGAGATGGGCTGTCTTGCAGAAGAGAAGTAGCAGGGGGAAAGAGGTGACTAACGAGCAGAAGGGGGTGCGTAAAATCCTACTTGGATTGCCTCTCTTGGGAACAGCTGTTTCCTTATAAACATCTTGCTAGCTGTCCAAACAAGAAGTTCAGACACAGAACAATAAAGGAGAGCACCCGGGTAGAAGCATGTGAGGCATGGGCTCATTCACTACCCTGCCAGTTGCTCCAAGTGGCAGAATTCAAAAGCAGAGGAAATGTTAACCATACGTTTAACCTTGCATATGCTGGTGTTACAGCCAATGGCCTGCAGAAACACATCCTTCTCTATCTGTGGTGAAGTCCTTCCTAGTCCTCCTTTTCCCTTCACTGTTTCTGACACACCAGCAGAGCACATTACTTGACAAAGCAAAAGAGGAAATACCCTCATCAAAACAAGCAGAAACAGTAGCAGAGCCAAGAAATTAAAAACCTGAATGTGACAGCCCTGAAAACCTGACGCTGGCCTGGCATCAGCAACTTGGAAGTAGAGTGAGTTGCAGCAGAAAAAGTAAAAAGAGTCTTTTTGTTAGTCCTGAGCACAAAACAGCCTACACTGGCTGAAGTATTTCTATGTCAGTACAACTGTGTCCACACGGGACTCTTGCCAGCACTGCAAGGTAGGTAGCTGTGGGCAGAAGGAATACTAGCACAGCCATGCCAGTGAACATTCCTTGGGCAGGCTAGCCAAAAGCAGGATATTACCTGCACTGCACAACAGCAAGGAGAGGCTGTGCACCACTTCTGTTCATTCCTTGATGGGGATCAAATGCAAGCACACCTGGTCACAAGCCTATCCAATAAAGCCTGTTTCCAAAGTGTCACCCTTTACAAAGGGGTGCAATCAGATCACACACACATATCCAGGAAATGGGGGGGTCAAATTGCAAGGAAGGAAATTCACAGGATAGGACACATAACTGACAAGGAAGCACTATGTCCTGAGCCTACAATCTAGTTATCTGCACCTTCATGTCCATCTCTGACTGATCTATCTTGACTTTTATACATTCTAGTCAATGCAAACTAGTTACACTGGGAAATCAAATGCCTCCTATTTCTACCCAAAACAACCCACAGAGGCAGGAAGACAGTAAGCACAATGACAATCAGTCAGAAACAACAAGCAGTTTGACATTTTAGAAACAGTTCATAAGTTCAAAGGAAAGATCTGATGCAGACAGATTTATTTTACCTTTTTATTTCTTTAGGGCCATTTTGTCGTAGTTGTGCACAAACAACCAGAAAAAAAAGACACTCTAGCAAGGGCTGCTCAAGAATAAACATTCAGTCATTACAAGAAGGGAGGACTGCAAGTTCTGCTGATCAAAATCCCTCTGAGCCTAAAGAAACGCAGCTGGCTTGTTGCATCAAAGTCCAAACCAATCGGGGACTCCACCTCGTCTGGGGTCACCTTTCTCCCTCTGCTTCTCTTTCTCCATATATTTATTCCTGAAGTCATCAAAAGAGCGAGTTTCTGTGTCTTGTTCTTTCTCTGGAAATAGGTTGGGAAACTGAAAGGTTTGTCCTTGGCCCTAAAGAGAAAACAAATGGTCAGAGAGACATTCCAGCCTTTCTGCAGTAGCTATGATGCATATACTTACAATGAAAGACCACCCTGAAGTTTCAGCTCATGCAAAATGGTACCTCTTACCTCCCAGGATCTCTTTCCACTCCTGTCCTCAAGACTCACATATATCCTTTCCCCCACAAAAAAGCTATCTTTCAGCCTCTGCTCTTCTGTGTGCTAATTAAGACCCTGACATATTTTTTTACAGATGAATGGTTAGGAGATGGACAACTTTTCAAAGACCTTGAAGCAGCTCAAAGATGTTGTATGAGTCATACACTAACAGCAAGATGAGCAAAATAAGAGATTTTGTTGAAGTAACACCACCAGGAAAACACATGGAGGAGCAGGCAGTCATTAAGTTAACACTCAGGATATGGGTAGTGGTTATAGTTGTTTAGATTGCAGCTAAGGATAAGAGAGAACAGTCCTAGCAGCTGTTACTGTAGGGTGCAAAGTGGAAATACAGAATAACAGATATTAGAGGTCTCTTATCAACAGGAATAAAGACTTTAGTGTAAAACATTTACAGTGGGAACAATTTGTCTAATACATCATTGATGAGATTAAAGTGATTACATCTGCATTAGTCAATTTGTCTAATAGACAAGTCATTTTACTAAAACATCATCATCAGATCTATGTCTCCCACTTGGAAAATAAATATTTGTTTGGTCTCTCGTTTTTATGTAACAGCAGGAAACCATTAATCTGTGGAAATGTTCTATCCCATTAACATTACCTACTCACTTTTTAGTGGCATGTGCACCAAGCACAACTTCATTAAACTCAAAAATACCAGCCCTTTCATTCCATATGGGACTTTGCATAATAAAACTCATAACCGATAGCTCATAACTCTGAAACTACTCTCCAAAATGCTTACAAACCTTACCCGTACATTAACTTCTTTGGCAGCATACCACATACAGAAATCTCAACAAAGCCATTTAGTCATTCTTTATGTTTGTCCAATAAATATAATCAAACAAGAGGCCCTATTATGGAATGGTCACAATGTCCACAATGGACAAAAAAAGGAGCCTTCCACAATACAGCTACCTACACTACATTTTGGGATAACAAACGTGACAATTAAAACAAATAAACCCACAACCATGCCCCTGACCCAGCTGAATGTGTGCTATGTTTCATTTAGCCATCTACACTCAACTTGCTAATTTACAGGAGTGAAAGAATTTCAATCTCAAGCATACACTTTGGAAATAAAAAGCATTACTTATCCCAGTTGAGCTTAACAAGACTAGAATCTAGGAAATATCAACTCATACCCATCAATGCTCCTGATGTTTTCGTACTGCATATTTCTTAGGGGTTTCCTAACAGCCTGACCATACTACAAAAACAAGAAGCAAGCTGCTGTGTACATTGCTCTGTCCTCAATTCTAGCTTGGATAAGATCAACTGGAACAAATCAAGGTTTTCCTTTCCACTGTGTACACTCCATGGTTTCAAGTCTTTTGTACCTTTAAATTACCAGCAGGTATGCTTATAATAGCTGTCCTATGACAGCTGAAGCATAGTTCCATTTCAAGGCAGAGAAACTGGCCTTATGAATGTCCTTGAGCAATCCCAAAGCCTACTGAAACTCTTCCTGTAGCTGGATCAGCAGCAAGCACCCTTGAGGCCAAGCACTGCCCAAGATTTCAGCACACTGAATCATTTGGAAAAGAATTTGTTTATATTACAAAAAATTACTATGCTTTAATTGCACTGCAGGTGGGTCATTCAGCCTGGTGGTACCTAAAGAACAGACACAGCCAATTGTAAGGGTTCATCTGCCCTGGAGTAGAAGCCATTTTAATTAAACAAATGCAAAAACAATTCAGGCTAACATGATAGGCATACCACCTACACTGAAAATCTGAGAACTATTTATATTGGTAACAGTGTAGTAAGGGACTGTTCTTGTTATGCAGCACTTCCATTCTGGTATTCTTCCAACACCAATGTACTTCCCTTATTGGAGAATGACGGAAAGTTGTCCCTAAAGCACACTAACAACATCCACGGTAATTCACTAAGCATTGCAAAACAGTTATTATTTTAAGGGGGGTGGAAAAAAAAAAGATATACACAGAGCATGTAGTGAAAGCAGACAAACCTTTTAGCCATTTGAAGACTGGTGAAAGTCAAATATTAAGCTGAAAATGTCAATCTGTATCTGGAGTCTTCTAATAAATCAAAATCAGGATAGACAAGTTGGTTCTTTCCAGCTCTTGTTTTGTGAAGAAATTCTGATTTTGGCTGGCAGCCAGACATGATTCAAAACAGCCAAGACATTACACCCTGAGAACTGAAGGTTGATAAATCTTAAGTAACAATACTATGCAGTAATACTGCACTGTAAGACTTTGAAGTGATGAAAGCTGTATGAAAAATAGCTGTTGTGCATGCTCGCTCAGTAGCTAGTTTTGAGAAGAAGCTTGTATCCTGGGTATTTCAAAATTTAAAAAATACCAAAAGGCATCAACTTACATAAAGGATTGTGAGTCTGTCCAGGCATGTTTACGTTCAGTGCATCTTCCACACAATGCCAGAGGCTACTGAGTTTCAAGCTCATACCAAAGAAACAGAGGGATTGTCACTCCTTTATGCAATGCTGGTTTTTCTTACACTTTTTCTTTGTAAAAGTTTTCCCTTCTGTACAGAAACCACATGACAACCATATGATAAATGCATTCTCAGAATGAAATCCTAACTGAAAAAAAGCAAACTAAATTTCTATCAGGTTCAACAGAGTTTTGTCTGGTTTGCAAAATGCTAGAACACAAAATGTTGGCCTATTCAAGCAGAAAACAAAACTTTGGCCTACGTCTAAACCTTTCATTTGTTCACAGTTTTACCTTTTGCAAGCCATTTAAACAAGGTCATCCTTTTAATCTCCAAATCATTGAAATTCACATAAGCTGAAATGGGTTCTAAAAAGGCTATGGTTTGGTTCTCCGTTAAAACTTCTGTCAGCATAATTACCTTAGTTAGAAGGACAGAGAAAGAGGAAAAAAAGAACATCTTTCTACCTGACATAGTTGTGCTAAAAGAAAATCCTGTAAAAAAGACAGGCACTGGCAAAAAAAAAAATAAATAAATTGCTTGGAACTAGATGCTGTTCTGCCAGCATGAAAACTTTTTCACCAATATGAGGTGATACACTCTGGAGTTTGTCAGGATAAGCTCTACCATCACACACTCTTATATCTAAGTGAGCCCTTACAATGTTCAAAAACGAAGAAAAAAACAGGCAACGCAAGTCAGAGGCAGTATTAAAACACCTAAAAAATAAAGGCAACGTGATGATTTTACACAGTGCTGTTCTCAATTCAGGGTCTTCCCAGAGGCCTCCCCTTTTTCCTACAAATTCTAGAACTATGTAAAAGTGAGATGTGTAGTCCAGTGTTTAGACCACAGAAGTGGGAGTTGTGACATTTCTACTCCTGCACAACTCTAATCCTTGCTTCAGCATTACCCAAATTTAATACTTATTTATAGGCAAGCTCTTATGAGTATTCATTTCTTAAATGCTAACAACCTTCAAAACAGAAAAAAAGACCTAGGAATCAAAAATGCATTCTCTCCTTAGATTTCAAGTCTTTTTTGTTAGAAAGACTGAAAGCACATCTTGTTCTCTGCATCTGAAGAAGGAGTTATCACATCGAGTGGTACAAATTGCCTCCACTCATTTTAATGAGAGGTTAAGTGACTGTAATTAGGCCTATGAAGTCAAGTGTTAGCCTTTTCACTGCTAAGCCTCATGTCAGAAAATTGCTGGAAGGATTATCCGGCACAAACTCACTTAGACTTCTCTGACCTTTGCATCCCTTGAAAAGTTTAGGAATGGAAGGTCAGCACAGATATCATGATGTGGGAATGACGCAGCAAACACTGATCATGTAAACAACTGTGAGATCTTCTGATTATTTAGATCATTGAAGTACTTACTACTGTCCTTCAGAATTACGAGAAAAGTGATGTTTATAGTATTGTTAGCTAAAAAATGTTGGACTCCAGCAGCACGGGATTCAATCCAGCAGTAGCAGAAAATGCAAAAGAGTTTAATAACCCAGTGCATTTGAACAATTCTCCCACTGTTGCAGTGGTAAAATCTGATGTTAAATTGTACAGCAAAACAGCACAGAAAGCAGCTTAAAAAATGAACATAGGAATGACAGTGTATGAGCATCCAAGTTTCCTCTGAATTAACTCCATGTCAAAAGAAAACTGCTGTCACATTGGAAGTTTAAGTGGATTAATGATTATGTATGTACTGGACACTCTAAACAGGGTTTGGGGATAAAACATTTGTAAAAACGTTCCCACCGATGCCATCATTCACAAAACTAAATAGGTGTTAGTCCTAATGTTGACAAGGTCAAACTTCTTTTTGCAGCCATATCCATTAGATTTCTCAAAACAGGTTTAATTAAAAATAGGTCAAGATTTCAGAGGCTTGTCTACAGTTGTGCTCCCACGGGTGCCAACACCTGTTGAGCCAAACGAGTAAGAGCACTGAAGGAGGAGGAAGGGATGCTGTTGGTTTTTTTAATTTCCCTGATGTTGATGCAACTGTAAAGTTACACACTGGCTTTCTCTTCTTTTTTTTTTTTTTTCTTTCAATAACATTAAGATAATTATAACTGCACTGGAGAAAGGAGAAAGGTTGCTGTCTAACATTCATTTTATCTACTCCTCAAAGATATATAGCTTTATTTTTAATTAAAAAATAAAACAGTGTAGAAAAGTAGCATTCAATAACCAGAGCTCTAAGTCTCTAACTTAAACCTTTCTCACTACATTCTAAAAGGGAAAAAGAGGGAGGCAGGGTCTGGAATGGCAAGATATTGTTGATCCACAGCCTTCTATGATTTGAGATATTTTTTCAGTGTGAAAATATTATGCTTGGACAGATCACGTATTTGTCCAGTTACAGCCTGAGAATAAAGTAAACAGCTCTGAATCTCCAAGAAATAGTATTTGGAAAAGAAAGGACAACAACTCTTACATGTGTAATAGCTGGGGCATTAATCAGACACCTAAGGGTATGTTGACTATGACTTCACATACCTCCCAGCTTTGAGACTCTTGCAATAAGTTAATGGAAATGTATGTTACACAGGGACGCATAAGGTGATGTTTTATGAAGCAGAGAAGCGTAACTGGTCATGAGATTTTAGACAATTTCATTCAGGTAAACCACACCGCAGTCATGCTGGAAAGAGCAATACTTCCACCTAGTGGGCAAGAAAAAGATCAACCCAAGACCTTCCAAAAACACATCCTTGTTTTTCCAGTCATAAGCAGTTTCAGCTTCAAACTGGATTAATGAGAGAAAACACAGCTGGTAAAAATGGTGGGAAAGCCCAACTACTCTGACTCAGGGCAGATGCAAACTAATTTTCATTAAAATAAAGATTTTACAGTGGTTAACCGAGGCCTTCCTAAGTTAGGCAGATATTAACAATGGACAGCATGGGGCCTGTTATAGCCTGAATCATATTATGAGTGGGAACTAAGGCAAAACCTTCAGTTTCAGAAATTACACTGGGTTTCAGGCCTCAGTCACTGTTTAAAGCTGGTGTGAACACAGAACTGGAAGCTGCCTGAGACATCAGAGCTAGTGACAAAAAGCAAAGAAAAAAAAGGAAAAAGAGAAAAAAAAAAAGGAAAGGAAAACCTAAATGTTAAAGGCATTAACACACACCAAAAACAATAGAAAAAAAAGAGAGCAAAGAAACTACAAATGAGGTGAGGGGAAAATGCATGGACAAAGCTTCACTGACGAGTTTAGTATACAGTCAGGATTCTGTCACTCAGGGTGAAGTACACCACCAAAAGGTGGTCTCCTAACCCTGTTTATCCTTGGCTTCCTTTAAAAAATTCAGGTGATACTATAGTACAAGGGAATGCAGTAAGGGACACTTGCTGTCTTATGTGCCAAGACCTCCAGTACCACAGGACTCCGGCACAGGCTCATTTGCCCAGCAGACAAAAGAAGAGGCTGGAGGAATGGCCAGTTAACTGCTGTCCAACTGTCTCCAGTACCAAGCTAGTTTGGTAACTCAGCTCTCCACCACAGAGCTGCCCTTATGGTAAGGGCAACTATCCTAGGTTCAGAGGTTTGATGTGAAATAAATGCACAAAGGCACTACCTTAAATGAGTGACTTGCTCCACAGAACAGTAGCATTTTGCTTCCCACTCCTTCCCCTGAGTATCTATGTAAACTACCTTCTTCTCAATTCAGCAGACAAAAGAAACAAGACTGCATTAAATATAGTCAAATAAAATTTGAGAACTGACCACAGTTTGCTAAAGATCTGTGTCTGCTTCCATCTTGGGTAACAAGACTCTATAAGCAACAAGTCACTAGCCATGACAATGGAAAGTGTTTGCTAAGTGTTTGCTAACAACACTCAGAGGAACCAACTTGTAAGACACATCACTCCTGGAATTCTGTACTTTATACTGTTCTTTTAAAAGGTATGGGCTGTCTAGAAAACAACAATCTCCTCACTTTTCTTCCCGCTCTCCTCAGAAGGGGCTCAGAGCTAAGCCCATTTGTATTTTGAAAAATTAAAAAAAAACCCACATCAGATTTCCCATTGTTTGACCTCAAACCCATACTCATATTCTTATGTAGTCTTTAAGATCACACAGTGTTCCCCTCACACTGAATCCTTGTCCCAGGATGGAGTAACACTGAGGTTGTGTTGCCAACAGCAATTTTGAGCTTATGATTTTACAACCATAAACAGCATTCCTTTAATGTAATTTTGGTATGTGAAGGGCTTTTCTGTCACTGGTTGCCCTTCATTTTTACAAAGAGACAGGTAAGCTCAAGAGAAGTCTTAACTATAACATGCTCCTGCTACAAAAGAAATTCATAAGAACATGAAGCTCCTTTTCCACTGGGCAACCAACATACGTTTCAGAACCCAGTTAAGCCACAAAGTATGCTCATTAGACATGACTAAAAGCTCTCCAAGGAATATGCCTAGTCTGCTTTGAAATCCAAGAGTTTTAATAGAAAGTTCTCTACCCTTACAATATATTCTTTCTCTTACTGGATCTTTCAGCAATCAACCACACAAGTAGTGAACCTTCAGCACAGAGCACAGGGTCATCTGTAATTCACTGTCAAAACAGCACCATATGACATCAGATCATGATTTACATAGATATCAAAAAAATGAAGGAGCTGAAAACTAACCATTTGTTTGAATTTGATTTTTAGACTAACTCATTTAAGTATCTCTATACATCCCAGAATGTATTAAAAAAAATGTCATTATTAGAGGATTGGCAGAAATATTCAGCCAACCAGACAATTCACTGAACATTACTGCTAGCTTGGCTGGTTAATGGTCCTTTCCCCTTTCCCCACAAGTATCTGTATTAACTCACCAGTTGTACATAGGCGACCTTGTAATCTGGCTTTTTCACTCTCTGATTCTTGTGATTCCTCTTGTTATTTGCACCTGCAGAAATGAAGAGTCCCACTTTTTACTTCCCAGGACTTCCAAGCTCCTCAAAGCAAGGCCAAGCTGAAGGGAGGACTTTACTACTTCTCATTTATTGTTAACAGGAATACTCTTTCTTCAGCACCAACACAATATCACAGTTACTAAAATGTACTGAAATTGGTAGACACTACTCATTTACAAGGAGGGAGCTGAGGCATCAGCAGACTCAGGTTGCTGAGAGCCATTGTGCCTTCATGCCACACAAAGTCTGCAAAGAAGCAAGGAGGTAACTGTTCTCCCAACTTCGACAACTTCAAGAAAACAAGGAAGAAATTACCACTAAAGCAAGCATGATTATTTTTCAGTGCTATTTGGAACTCCATGTGCTTGGTATTTGAGACTTTATTTAATTCTGTTTTACACATAAGCATTTTACAGATGGGTCTTTCTGATTTCTTTTTCTTCTTTTATATGTTTGAGTTTTACAACCTTATTTTGAAGCTTTTTCTTCTATTCTCCATTTTTCACTATTACAGCTCTTTTTTCATTCCTCTTCTTTAAAATCATTCCTACTCTTTACCACTATATACATATCTACAAATTTGTTAAGAGTCACTGCATGGAAAAGAAAAACCTAGCTTTCACAGACATCCTAACCAACAAGTCACTCTTGATTTGATTAATGCACTGCCTGATGATCAGAACAGTAAATAACATCAAAATCATACTCCTGACTTTGCACTGCATCCAAACTGCAGTCAGAAAAGCTCTGGTGAAGGAAGCATTTGTATGTCAGGCGACCTATAAATTTAGCTGATTTCACATAGAGATGGGTCACAGAATCACAGAATCCTAGGGGTTGGAAGGGACCTCAAAAGATCATCTAGTCCAAACCCCCTACCAAAGCATGTTCCTGTGTGATGTGCTCTAGCACATGCCCAGGTGGGTTCTGAATGTCTCCAGTGAAGGAGACTCCACAACCTCTGGGCGTTCAGTATAACTTAAACTAGCAATGTTTTTTTCTTTTTCTCTTGAGTTGGTTTTATGTTGTTTGGTTTTTTGTAGGACTGGCACATGGGAGAAACACCATGAGTGGAAGCATGCAAGTCTGTAGCAGAAAAGTGGTAACAACAGGTGATAAAAAATTCAAAGTTTGCCAAAATGTTTCAATGTTTTTCTGACATTATCTTCTTGTCTAATAAGAGTATTTTTGCTCTACAGACTCCACCACAGTTGACAGACTACAGAAGCTCTGGCCATAACACCATCTCCATGTGCAGGCCAGGTAATCTCAACTCACATATATATTTTTTTAAAAGGCTATTAGTGAAATTAAGTTTATCTCCTAATTTTATTGAAACACACAAAGTAGCTCCTTCTAAAGTGAGACACCCGCTTGTCTTTAAAAAGAAGAGGTACCAACTACAAAGCATCCAGCACAAGCTAAGTAACTGTCAAGATGATAAGGCTTTTTAAATTCAAATTTTTCTTTTAAAAACTGAACTTGTGTCATAGTCTAATTAGAGGACTAAATTATGAAGGGACAAATCAACAACTAAGCCGATTGATGTCACCAGCTAAGCACCTGTTTGCCGAAAGCTAATGGATGTTTTGAGACATTCTGGCCATGTGGGGATGCTACATTCATCCCTCTGGATTACTCCACTGCACTTACCATACTGTATCCTTGTTCTCACAGCAGCTACTGGCACGTTGTATATTTTCTCAAGGTAATTCTTGATATCCACTTTTGTCATTCTACGCAATGCAAAAACATTTTGGGGAAAGAAAGAAGAAAAGCATAAATGTTCAAATAAAATAGAACAAAGCCAGAGTATTTAGACTGTTTGACACTCTAGAATAAATAAGCCTTCTCCTTTTAACCAAAGTAACTGTACAGCACAAAACTATAAATTCAACGTAAGTCACACAGTGCTACAGCAATTAATTACCATAAACGGTACAATGACAAATATTTCATGTTCTGTAGACTCAACAGCCTAAAACTCAGATATACACTGCATTCAGCAAGAGTGGCTAGGCCAAGAAATCTTCCCAATCTTCTAAATAGCGTTTTCTAATCTTTCCAGGACTTGCCATAGGTTTGTGGCCTTTATAGTATGTGCAACCAGAGCAGCCAGGATGAAACTGTCCCGGCAAACACCTGCACACCACCCCGTTTTCTCTGAACCGTTTCCATAAGCACGTTCCTCTTCCTCAGCCTGTCCCAGGGAAGGTTCAGCCTCAGCAACACCCAGGAACAGGAGCCAAGCACACCTCGTGCTTAACTCAGCGCCCTCGCAGCCCTCTAAAAGGCCTCCCTGCCGCAGAAGCCGCTTTCCCCGGCCCGAGGGCGCTCCCGGGCACCCCCCTGCCTGCCCCTCAG